TATATATATATATATATATATATATATATATATATATATATATATACATATATATATATATATATATACATATATATATATATATATATATATATATATGTGTGTATACATACATATATATATATATATGTTAGGATCGATAGCACTAAGAGGGGGGGGGGTGAATTAGTGCAGCGGAAATCTTTGAGCGATTAAAACCGAAAGCTGCGTTCGTTCGATAAAAACGATTTCGATGTAAAAGTCGATTTTAAGATTAAGCGCAGTTTACGTTTAAACGTTGTTTACGTCTAAACGCAGTTTGCGTCTAAACGCAGTTTGCGTCTAAATGCAGTTTGCGTCTAAACGCAGTTTGCATCTAAGCGCAGTTTGCGTCTAAGATCAGATTGCGTCTAAGCGCAGTTTGCGTCTAAGCACAGTTTGCGTCTAAGATCAGATTACGTCTAAGCGCAGTGCAGTTTGCATCTAAATGCAGTTTTACATCTAAACACAGTTTTACGTCTAAACGTAGTTTTACGTCTAAACGCAGTTTGCAAAGGGATCTGAACTTAGAAACTTCGTTCGTAAAAGCGCAGAAGACAGTTTTGCAGAATCAAAACGTAAACGTAAACTGTAATGTATGAAAACACCGATTTACGTCTGAATGCAGATTCGGAAAGATCAGCACTTAGAAACTTGTTCGTAAAGGCGTAGAGAGCAGTAGCTATGTAGGAGGTTTGCAGTAATGATAAAGTGCTCGAAATAAACACAAACCAGAGATTTAGAGTGGTTCGGTCAGTCTTGACCTACTCCACTTTTGACTTCCTCCACCAATGAGGTCACCGACGTCAACTAGAGGCCTTCCTTCAATATGCGAAGGCCAACTGTCCTTTTACGAATTCACTCCTTTTGATGGGCTCAGGAGACAACCCTTACAGGACCTTTCTCTCCTCTCTTTACAACTCAAAACTTGAAGAACAGAAAGAGGAGAACTTTAGGACTTTTCACAAATTTGAGCTCTTAGAATCACAGAAAAGATCAAGAATTCGGTGTAGGTCTATATCTTTTCAGTGTTGAATGGGTGGGGTATTTATAGGCCCCAACCCAATTCAAATTTGGAGCTCAAAACGATCAAATCCCGGAATTCTGGGATCAGGCGGTTGCACCTCCTGACTGGAGAGGTTGCACCGCCTGGCAGAGCTCGAAGACTGAGCCCAGGCGGTTACACCTCTCTGTCAGGGCGATTGCACCTCCTGAGTCTGGCTCGGAGACTGAGCCCCAGGCGGTGCCACCTCTTGACTGAGACGGTTGCACCTCTCTGCCAGAGCTCGAAGACCGAGCTCAGGCGGTGCCACCTCTTTGTCAGGGAGGTTGCACCACCCAGTCTCGCTCGGAGAAAGACATTTTCTAAGCTATTACAAAGTCTGCAAGTCAAGACTTCTTCTAGCGAGCTTCCGGCAAACTTCCGGCGGTCTTTCGATTAACTCTCGGAAACCATTCTGCGGACTCCCAGCAAGCTCCTAGACTTCACGATTTGATCTTAGCGAGTTCCAACGAGCTTCTTCGACAAGCTCCGATCTTTCTCGGCGAGCTCCGTGAACTTCCAACGAACCTTCCGGCAAGCTTCCGAAAGCCCTTCGGCAAGCTCCCAACTCATTCTCGGCTAGTTCCGGTAGCATTCCCGACGAACCTTCGGACTTCCGTCGAACTCTCGAACTTGCAACAAATCCTTCGCGCTTGATTCCGACACTTTGTTTCGCTTTATGTCTTCATCGTTATCATAGTTAATCCTGCACAATTAAAGCAAAACTTCGATCGAGACAATTAATCCTAAGCAATTAACCAAGTTGTCCGGCATGTCATTGGTCCCTCGACGCTTCATCTGATTCTTCGGCGCATCGTCCTGTCTTGCGGCCTATTGCCCAATTGGTCAGTTGACTCCGCAACTCCGATATCCTTGGCACAATAACCGCTCTTCTTGGCCCGATGCCCGAGTCCACTGCCCGAAGCC